AAGTTCGTATAGCTTTTGTATCTGGAAATCAAATTTTGGGTGGCATGCCTTTTGTTTTTCACATGTGGTTTTTGAAGTGTGGGCTTTCGGAGAACCACTGCTTTTACCGTTTTGGCTATTGCTTTTTCGTCCCCCCAAATGTTTGTTAGTGTGTTTTGCATATCATTATGACCTAAGAATGATGTTTGGTTACGGGTTGTGAGGAGGAATTGGCTTTGTGTTTGAATTTGGGGCCTGTTTGGTGAGTGTGACTCTACAGCAAAATCGTATCTACTGCTGTAACTTGGGTTTATGTTTTTTAAGCATATATAGGGGGGGTATGGTCCGTGAAGGTTTTTTCGGTTGGTTTTAAAAGGCTTGGTTTTTGCCCTTGCTAGGCCCTGCGTTAGCTCACTCTCTCCCTAGGCGCCTCGTTCGGCTAGTGTCCCACCCACTAGCATCAAGAATGGACGCCAGAGCTAACGCAGTTAGAGTTGGCGGTGGGAATCGGTGTTGGGCATCGGTCTGTTGGCCCCTGAAATGCTGGTTGTTGGGATGCCGGCATTTCAAGCGAGGACGATTGGTATGTCCTTGTGTGGCTGACTCTCCGAGGTTGGATTTCGGTTTGCCAAGTTTCCTTAATTTGGCTTGGTGTGCCGATGTTAGGTGTGTCGGCCCTGCATTAGCTCCTTCCCTTCCGGCGTTTGGTTCTTCCATTACACCCACCCAGGTGGAAGGACCAGGCGTCGGGGGCTAATGCAGTCGGTTTTATGGTGGCTCTAAGTGGGTGGGACGGTTGGCTACTGTTTTGTTGGCCTTTGAAATGCCGGTTGTTGGGATGCCGGCATTTCGAACGGGGATGGTTGGATATTTTGTCATTGCTAGGCCGACTCTGGGATGGTTGCTCTTTCGGTTAGCCAAATTTCTTAAATTTGGCTTGGTGTGCCAATGTTAGGTGTGTCGGCCCTGCTTTAGCTCCTTCCCATCCGGCATTTGGTTCTTCCATTACACCCACCCAGGTGGAAGGACCAGTCGCCGGGGGCTTATGCAGTCGGTTTTAGGTTGGCTCTAAGTGGGTAGGACGGTTTGCTACGGTTTTGTTTGGTCTTGCATGGCACTATTCGATGTGACTGTCATGGGCACCTGGCATTCGCTGGTGGGCTGACTGCCGAGTTAAAAACTTGGCCTTTGGTCTGTTGGTGGTTTGTGCGGTGTGTATGAAGTTTGCGATGCGTAATTGTGTGTGAGATGTATTTGGTTTTCATGGTTAGGTTTGATCCTTGCTGTAGCATAGAAAACTTGCCGTGTAAGCCTTTTCAATATGGTGGGCTACGCCTTTGTTTGCAATGGTTTCCTTTGTTTTGTACCCTCTTTGTGGCATCCTTACAATCCCGCTCTTTTCCGTTTGTTTTTCGTCTTTTTCAAAGCAAAATGCCATTAAACAAGTTCATATAGCTTTTGCATCCGGAAATCAAACTGTGGTGGCATGACTTTTGTTTTTCACATGTGGTTTTTGTAGTGTTGGCTTTCTGAGAACCACTGCTTTTACCGTTTTGGCTATTGCTTTTTCGTCCCCCCAAATGTTTGTTAGTGTGTTTTGCATATCATTATGACCTAAGAATGATGTTTGGTTACGGGTTGTGATGAGGAATTGGCTTTGTGTTTGAATTTGGGGCCTGTTTGGTGAGTGTGACTACAGCAAAATCGTATCTACTGCAGTAACTTGGGTTTATGTTTTTTAAGCATATATAGGGGGGGTATGGTCCGTGAAGGTTTTTTCAGTTGGTTTTAAAAGGCTTGGTTTTTGCCCTTGCTAGGCCCTGCGTTAGCTCACTCTCTCCCTAGGCGCCTCATTCGGCTAGTGTCCCACCCACTAGCATCAAGAATGGACGCCAGAGCTAACGCAGTTCGAGTTGGCGTTGGGAATCGGTGTTGGGCATCGGTCTGTTGGCCCCTGAAATGCTGGTTGTTGGGATGCCGGCATTTCAAGCGAGGACGATTGGTATGTCCTTGTGGGGCTGACTCTCCGAGGTTGGATTTCCTTAATTTGGCTCGGTGGGCCGATGTTAGGTGTGTCGGCCCTGCATTAGCTCCTTCCCTTCCGGCGTTTGGTGCTTCCATTACACCCACCTAGGTGGAAGGACCAGGCGTCGGGGGCTAATGCAGTCGGTTTTATGGTGGCTCTAAGTGGGTGGGACGGTTGGCTACGGTTTTGTTGGCCTTTGAAATGCCGGCATTTCGAACGGGGATGGTTGGCTATTTCGTCCTTGCTGAGTCAACTCTCGGATGGTTGGATTTCAGTTAGCCAAATTTCTTTAATTTGGCTCGTTGTGTCGATGTTAGGTGAGTCGGCCCTGCATTAGCTCCTTCCCATCCAGCGTTTGGTTCTTCCATTACACCCACCCAG